TTATTTTGTCTGCCATTTGTTTCTCGCCTACAAGTAGGCTAGCACAACCTGTTTCTCATGTAGAAGCAGCATCTCATCAAACATGTAGATAGATTGTCAATTGGATTGTGCAGAAGGAAACAAATTTTTCCTTCTGTGTTTGTCTTTGGGAAACTTTAAATTCTTTGGATGATGATCTTGGTTGCTGTCAGTTGCGAGATTATGATTGAGAGATATTTAATAATGTTGTCTCCCTATGTTTTGAGACTAGAGGTGCTCTGAAGAATCTTTTTACTCTACAGATTAGGTTTTCCAGTCCAGAAACATTCTTCTTTTAAGAGTACTGCCAATTGGTTTTCTGAACCTGTGATAGAGAAAGTTGATAAAAATTGTCTCCTCACACAGCACAAGAGTGAGAGACTTTGTCCTTTCAGGAATAGTCCAGGTGGTTTGGTATCAGACTATTTTGATGTGCATCCCTTGATTTAGCAGGCCCAGAATTCTATCTGTTTCCAGATTTTATTTGAATGTGATGTCATCCAAAGTCAGCATCCACATTTCAGCATGTTTGCTCAGATATTTTGGATGCTGGTGGGGTTTTGGACTTAAAGTAAATTTCTTTCCTGACTAGGGTTGTTCGCAGCAGAGAACAGTCTAGAGGAGGAGTAAATGGTCAAGAATTGTGATTGATATTCTGTCTGCCTGAGATTCCTTTCCTTACTTTCTTATGGGAAATTTTAGACTACTTGTCTGTGTTGAAAAGTTAATTGTTTCTCTGTTAGCTCAATTAAGTCCAGTTATCAACTGCTTCAGCTTTACTTTCTTCTTTAAGTATTTTCCATTTCTTTCTTCTATTCAATTACTAAATGATTTCTGAAAAGTCTAATTAGAGGTTTTCCTCTCTAATTAAGGACCTCAGTTCTGAATTTAAACCTGGATTTAAACTATTACCAGAAAACTCTCTGAGTCTTTTCTTGTTCTGTTCAATCCTCTATTTATCAATAAAATATCTCATTTCTGATATAAGGGCACTTTTTATAGATGAGGCCATTCTTAGAACTTGTTGCAAATTGTAATGTAAGGTATTACTAAGGTGTGGTTTATTTGTTTGTTTTTCCTTAAAACTGAAAGTTAAGAATTACTCACTTTTGATGACAAGGGAAGATCCTATATGAGGATTTGTTTACATCTATTGCACAGTCATTCAAAGGGATGAATTTCAACACAGACAGTTTCCAATTGGATAACTGTATATGAATGTGCTGTAAGGTAGTCAAAAAAGGCAGTATTTGCTTTGATTAGATCTCATTAAGGTAGCACTCAGCTGTATCAGTGGCATTCGTCAGAATCTTGCCAGTACATAATGTTTGTAAGGCTGCCAGTGGAGCTCCATTTACACTTTGAGTACTAAACACTGTCATTGAAGTTGAGGAAATAATGCCGTGTTTGAGAGAGCAGTACTTTAATTAGATGAAGACTGTGGGACTACGTCTTTTGACTTAGCATCAGCAGGGTACTGCTGAAAGCCACCCACATAGTGAATGTGCTCATAGTGACTATTCTTCCAGATGCATTGTTTGCACATGTAAACTCTTCCCATCTCTCTCTTTTCCCAGAGTCCCATTTATATTTCAAATCACTAGGTTGAGAGGGGAAAGACATACTCCAATCCTTTTGTGACTGTGATGTACCTAGAAGGGAGTGGGATTTGAAGTGTCTTTTCTAGGTCTTCTGTGAGAGCATTGTCATCACAGGGTTTGCAAAACCTTTTTTCCCTTGGTGTCCTGGCAGCTTTTGGCACTGGCTGTACTCTCCAATCCCACTGCTATTATGTAGTTTCACTGAATGACTGCACTTATTCTGTTGGTACAGTCATCCAAAGCTGACTGTCATTCTAGGTGTGGGAATACAAGATTCAAGATAAAATGTCTGCCTAAGTCTTAGTGCAGCTTTTCAAAGTTTCAAAGTGGCTAATGCTTAAGTGCAGTATTTATGCCTGTGATAAAACATGTAAACACAGCAGGGGCAAAAATGAGCCACATTATATCAGCTCTGGTTCTAGCATTTGCCGGAGTCCTTCAAGACTGTGTTTCTCTGCAATCCTCAGTTATTTCTAGAATCTTGGAACTGAGGAGACACCCTTTATGGTTCTGCTAAGGGTTATCTGAGAATTTTGTCCCATTGCCCATCAATAATAAATGATTCTCTCACACCCAGAGTCTTCTTCAAAGTTTACAGTGTCTTTCCTTCCATCTTTCCTGGTTTCTCAACCGGAATCTATATTACTTCATCTTTATATAAAAACACCCTTTTTATTCATATTACTTCTGTTAGCCTTAGAGAAGGCTTTGAAGATTTTGGTCCTAGAGGATTGACCTACCCTGTGCTATCTTTTTCTAGACAAGGCTGAGGATTCATCTCATATTTTTACAGGTGATTTTTTTTTTACTTTCATATCGGCCAGTATACAAACTTTCTTCCCATTTTTTCCTGTTCTTCTCATCTCTGAGATTTGAGCAAGGCTTAGACCCATGGATGTCATGCTTGTGTTTATGTGCACAGTATTTTTCTGTACGTGGATCAGAAGCTTTCAGAAAGATCTCGTGTCTCCATCTCAAATGCCTTTGGTGGCATTTCCTGAGGAACATCTTTTTGTGAAATGAGAACATCTAAATGAGTTCTGTTTGTTTTCAGGAAGCACTGTACTTCCAGGCATAAAGTTGCACTTAGCAGAATTATTATTCAGTCACTCTTCCCATAAAAAACTGTGGCCCTTCTCCAAGTAGGCATTTGGAATGTCTTAAGTGAGAATTTGCATTTAGATAAAGCATTGTTTAAAAAAAGATATTTCTGTGAAGGCTCACCATTCTTCCTTTTTTCAACTACTTGGAGTCCCTTAAACCTGAGAAATCTGAGTTGAGGGGAGCTGTGTTGGATATGGGGCATGCACTTCTTACTTTGACGTGTTCGTAGTGTGTTACGCAATGGTTGAAGGTAGAGGAGGAAATGGCTGAATGTGAATTCTGTTTAGGCAAAATTGCTGATCTCAAATGCTTTGAGTATGAATGCCCATTATTTACATGCGCATATGAAAAACTGATCTCAAATAACTGTTGTTGCTAGAAGCCATTTTGTCTTATGCTTGTTCTCAGGGTAACACGTGTAGTACTAGGAACCAGTTGCAAGGGCTTTTGATACATCTTTTATTTTAAATATTATAATAAGATTAATAAATTATGTGACTGATTCATGTGTAATTTGTAAGATATTCTAGGAGACCTTCTTTTAAGTTCTCAGGTGCAAGCAATCAACTTATTTTACAGAAAAAAGAAAAATTGAATAGTAGTAAGAAAACTGACCATAAAATGTTTTGACTGACTAGCACATCTGTGGCAACAGAGTAAACTGTGTCCTTTTGCTATGAAAGAGTTTATTCTTCTTTGAAAGAACACGTATATGCACATTTGCCCTGTGGGTAGAGAGTGCATGCAGTCACTTGAACTGAAGACTTTCAGCTTTAGCTGTACTTTGAGCAAGCTTGCTCATACTTTAATGGGAAAATAAAATCATGACAAGAAAGTTTGCTGGTGATGCTGAACTATTCAAGGTAATAAAAAAAAAGTCAAGGCTAACTGAAGAATTGGAGACTTAAGACTGATTAAGCATGCAGTAAAGTGGCAGATGTAAATAAACGTAGTGAGGCACATGGAGGAACAATCCTCTACAACTATCAACTTATTACCATTTATGGAAAGTAATTGGGGGTCATAATATATCTATAAAAATACTAACCTCTATGCTAAGTAGCTACCAGAGAGGCAAACAGTGTTAGTCATGACCAAAAAAAGCACCAAGAATAAAACAGAAATTATCATCTTGGCAGCTCTGGCATATTTTCAGTTGCTATGCTGCTAGATGTATTTAATCTGTAATGCTACTGCAGAGATATAAATAAGTATGCATACGTGCATACGCATCCCAAAACAGGAATTACTGTTGTGGTTGACCATTGTAAACTGATAAATAATACTCCCCTTTGCTTTAAGTATCTTCTATTTATTTTTTGTTTCCATGTTTTCAGCCTATCACAAAATGCAAATTTAAGATATCGGTGCTTAAGATCCTATGTTTTCAGTAAACTTTCTGCAAAGTTTTCACTAAAAATCACCTGTTTAAACAAGCAGGGATTTATATTATTAAGTATGCAAGGGAAAATAAGAGCAAAATTAGTTTTCACCCATTTCTACCTTCTCTTCACTGACACTCTAAAACAGAAAGTGCCTTTTTTAAGTCCCTTTGTTTTCTGTCTTCTATGGAGCTTTAACTAGTTATTGTGATCATGTAGGCCTTAGTCATCTTGATTTTGTAGCATGACTTCTGCAGCCATGTAAAAGCACTGCTAATACAAAACTTTGAAACTACAAAACTTGTTAAAATCTTTGGAGAGTGTCTCTTCAGTTCCTGCTGGCATGACATTGAAATAAAACTGCTGAAAGAAATCTTTTGCATTGCAGACCAAGACAAAGATGCTAGTTGCAATTTCTTCCGACAGTTTTTTAAGAAGTTAGATTTAAAAAGAAAGAAGGATGTAGCATACAAGTTAGATGAATCTGAAGAAAGTAGAAATAAAGGACAGAGAATTTATGCAGAAAAGGAAGCCTGCTGTCAGTATTAAAGTAGATACTGAATAGATAGGAGCAACTTGCTAATGTAGTAGCTAATTTCTTTCTCTAAACTGCATTGTTTATACATCACAGAAAGCTGAGGAATGGTGTAAAATGAGGTGTTACCTAATGATCATTTTGAAAGATACACTAGTGGTTTGTAAAAACAGGAAGTATACCTAGTTCTAGAAGAGAATTAGTAGATGATCAGCAGTTTCCAAAAGTAAAATGGACAGTCCATAAATTTACATTCTGTATTAAGTTAATGAAATCATATATAAAGTAAGTGGGTTTCAAAATTTAGACATGATGGTATATTTGCTTGATTTTACAAATATTTTCTCTTGTGTTTTGCAGAATGAAGAGAAGGCATCAGTCAGTTTTCCCTCTCTTCTTAGCCATATGACTTCTTCTTTCTTAAATCATCCTGTAATTCCAATGACAACATATGCAGATTCAGGTGTGCCAGAGATGCTAAATACTTTTTCTCCACTCATGTCATCCATGCCTTGTGACATTCATATCGTCACTCTGAGGACAATCCAATCAAAGGTAAGGTCAAACCACTATTTTTATGAGCAAACATATGATATAGCTTATTAATGTAGTTTAATCAAATACTTTATTCTAGGAAACTAATGGGGGGCGTATATGATAAACTGCAGTGTGATAACTTGTTTTTGTTGATTCTGCGAGAGCTAGAGACTTGTGTCTGTTTAAGTAATGTGAAATACGGGAGTCTTTTTTTTCAGAACATAATTGTATGCATAGTGCATTATTCTGTCACTGGAGGGGGCACATTTTAATGTATTCCCAAAGTTTAAAACCAGAAGTGTTCATATACTTTGGCCTCTTCTATATTAACAAGAATTAAATGTAAGGTCATTAGACTTTGTTCTGAGTACAATAATTTGTGTGTTTAATAAAGCATATAATTTTAAACCCCTTTGATTCCATTTGGAATACTTAAAGAAAATCTACCACATCTTAACATGAATAAATTGTTAAAATATTAAAAGACCTATTTTAATTATTCTAACATCAGCTTACAATCCTTGGTTTCTGTGAAACTGTTCTCTGGTAGGCTTACAATTAAACAAAAAAATTTTTAAAAACGCAAACAAACAAAAACAAACCAAAAACCCAACCCAAACCCTGTTCTGGGCTCAATTTTTTTTTTTTCTTTGCAAAAGAACTTACACAATTGTAACCACCATATTTCAATTTCTGTTTGATAAACTATAGAATTAGAACTTTTTGTGTGTCCTCCTTCTGCCAGCTCTTGTATAAATTCTTTTCAGTTTTTCAGCACCTTGTAAAATGTGGGTGTATTAACTTCATACTGTACTGCAGTATCATCCACCAGTGCTATTACCATAGATGAAATCCCTTTTTCATTCTGCTGTATTTACATACTTAGAAACCACAGTTGTCCCTTCACCCTTAGGGTCTTCGGTGGTGGCTGAGGTAGAACTGCTTATCTATAATATATAACCTCAGATTATATTCAGAATATTGGCAAAACTTGCCCATTAGCTACTGTTTTATTACAGTTCTTCATTTTTACTCTTATAAAACTTAAAGAATTGGTTTACTTTCTCACACTTTCTCTGTTAGTAGTTCAATCTCATGTACACTTCTTCAGCTGTAACTGTTTCTTATTCTGAATTTCAAAGTGGAATTGCTCTTGATTCTGTGGGTCTTATGCCTTTGAGGAGTTAGGAAGTAGCTTTGTATTGGATTAAATCTTCATGTGAAGTGTATGTTCCACACTTCACTGTAAAATCTTTTCATTTACCTCAGCGAGCTCAGCAACACCTGTTTGCTTCAGCATGTCAAGTTCAGGGGCAGACCTTCATGAACCTGCCCCCTCTCCCTTTTCAAGGCCTAAACTTCCTCACCTTGTTTTTATCATGTGGCCATGAAAGCTGTTAAATGGAAGGCTGGCTCTATGTCTGCTGTTTTGCAGATACACTGCAAAATAGACCTCATAGGTGAATTCTGCAATTTTTATCTGGGCTATACTGGCCGAACTATCCCAGTTGGTATAAGGTTGTTTGAGACTATGATCTATTCCCTGTCCACAACTTGATAATTACTTGATTGACAGGTCTTGAGCTTGCAGCATTACTTTGTGCACTTCAGAGTGAAAGTTATCAGTAGTCATAGGATAGGAGCACTGTTGTTATAGGTATAGAACAGTTCTTCCCCACAGCAGAAATTGCCCTATGCCATGCAAATAATTTTTTGTGTGACAAAATGGTCTTTTTTTAATCTCTTATCACTTTGTTTCCTTTCCCTGTCTTCCAAGAATTTGAATAATAAGTGTTATAATTCTGGCTAATTGACGCAATGCAATTTTTCCCAGAAATGTAGACTGCTTCTTTAGCTGTTGAAGTTTATTTTCAAGAAATTCTACCATTACTATTTCACATGAAAGGGTACCAAATTAAAATAAAGTGTTATTAGAAATCAGAATGCATGAAAGTGCATGAAAACATCAATGAGAAAAAACTTAAGGGAATTCCTAGTTTCCCTTTAAACTCTGCTTCTCTCAGCACGAACATATTGCTATTGTTGTAAGATATGTGATCTTGTAATGGAAGAGTCCAGTGCTTTAAGAATATGAAATTTAAAGAAATGTTTTAATAAAGCTCCAGTTTTTAAGTTGTTTGACCCAGATTTTACCTACTGTAAGTAGACTGGGCCTTGAGATTTAAAAACTGAGTACATTTGTCCCTTTATACTACATATAAATACATATTTTTGTCATGTTGCTTCGTCTTTTCAATGCATGTCTATTTGCTTACAGTAATCAGATAAAGTTTTGAAATGTTTTGGGCTTTGTTCTTTCTCATCAAAATTTTAGCAGTGTTGCCCTGAGATACAGCGTATGAGAAAGCCTAGCAAAATTTTTTCCATCTAGAAGCCTAATGTGAGAACTGCTTTTTATTTCTCAGAGATCAAAATCAAAACAAACTTTGGCAGCTCTTCGAAGAAAGGGAATCAGAGATTTGGTAGTACAGTAGTTACAGAATTTTTGTTATGTAACAATGCTGTGAAAATTTCAATAATCAATAACAATAATCAACAATAGTAATAATCAATACAAGATTATGGATGTCGTTTGTTGAAAATTGAGAAATTTGATACAGGTTTTCATGCAGTTAGCATGGTCACGTATAGAAGGTATACTTGATGTAAATTAGATTCATCCTTGTTCCAATATTCCTTGGACTTACATACACTTAATCTAATTTACCTAGGGGTGGTGTAAGAAGAGGTAAGCTAAAGTAGATACAGAGGCTGTCGCAACTTACTCAGTCTTACACCTGCTTTGGTAATGAGTTAGAACAGCTTAATTTATTACACATGAGTGCTATGTGCATGATAAAATCCTGGGAATTGGTTGACTATTATGTCATAGATGTTTATACTTACCAAAACTCTTTTCCTGGAAGTGTCATTAATTGTTTATTATCTTTGTTTTAAATCTTCTGAATCTTAATTAAGATAATATTTAATTTAAAAAACTTAAAAGATTAAATATGCATGCTGTCTTTGGAACTGCATAAATGCATTTGTTATGCAGATTACTACGAGCTGATTCCACTGTAATAGAGAGAGTGTTGATACCCATTACTCACTTGTCATTTTTAACATCAATTTACCCCATAGGAAGTTAGGCTTTTGCAGTATGAATTTTAATATTTCACTAATATGATGCTTAGGGAGATGGTATTATTTTGTGTGTATAAAAATGTCTACTTTTAAGTGCAACACTCATATCAATGACAGTGAATACGCAGTCAGGTATTTCATAGTTAGAGACATCATCATTATTACCTTACTTAATGTGGAAAGTAGTACTACTGTTCCAATAAGCAGGATAAGAAATTTTTCAGCCATAAATGATACTGAGTAGTGTAAACTTATTTGAGTATGCTGACTGTAGGTGCCATTCATTAATTAAAAACTGATTTTAGGTGGTTATAAACTAATGTTGTTCATGAAAATCTTCTCAAACTGAGTTTTATTCGTTATTTGTAAAATATGCAAAGTTTTTATCAGTCAAGGTCTTACTGCAAAGTATCTTATTTCAATTCCAAATACTGTTGAGTAAATTTTTACTATTTTAAATGAGGAACTTAGAAAACATTAAGTTTTATCAGTTCACCATTTTTTATTATTTGAATGAGTACTTAATCCTATGAATTTGTTGTACTATGAAGTTCTGTCATGCTGAATTTCAAATAAGCTGGTTCAAGCTGTTTCAAGATCTCCTTTATTGGGAGAAAATTGGTTTGGATCTGAAGCCTGTTAGATTAAGACCTCTCTCGTTTTTTACACCTTCAAGAGCTAAAGCATCACAAAGTGCCTAATGCTTGTAGGCATAGGTTTCTCCAAGGCAGGAGATACTTATTGGAGTACTAGAAATGGACCTAACTCATGGCAGAGACTTTTGGGGAAAAAGCACCAGTACAAAATCAAGTAAACCAGAAATAAATTAGAGAAAAGAGCTAGCATAGCTGCAGATAGAACCATCTTTTACATGCCCTTATTATATATATACTAAGAAGAAGAGCTGAAGAATGTAAAACAACAACAAAAAAGTAGCAAACGCATGATAGAAAATTACTAAGGTGAGCGTAGCAATACAGCAGACAGCTTGCAGCACGAAAGACATGCTGTTATGTGCCATTCATGTGGTGTGAAGCTAGCTTGCGTGGATGTGAAGAATTTCTTTTATGTTCCTCTTCCTGTACAAGAGTAGTTTTCTACATCTTATTGTAAAAGAAAAAAAAAAAAAGATGTTTTTGTGTAAATTGAAGTTTCCCAGCCAGTTCTAGCTATGCCTTTGTTAATTGAAGTATGTATCAGAACAGGATTCTGATTTGAGGCATTTATATGCTATGCTTGTGTGACCCATTTGTCCTGAGTGATTTTAGCTATTTGGTCCAAATTAGGAAGCTGAGATTGTGAGTAACTCTTGGCTTACTCTTTGATGCCTGTTGAACCTCAAGAGTACTGTATATCTTATCTATAAACATAAAATGTGTGTAATATTTGTATTTTAGTATACATTTCATGTACACCTTAATCATCATAGAATCATGGAATGGTTTGGGTTGGAAGGGACCTTAAAGATCACCTAGTTCCAAACCCCCTGCCATGGGCAGGGACACCTTCCACTAAACAGGTGGCTCAAAGTCTCATCCAACCTGGCCTTGAACTCTGCTAGGGAGGGGGCAGCCACAGCTTCTCTGGGCAACCTGTTCCAGTGTCTCACCATCCTCACAGGAAAGAATTCCTCCCTAATATCTAATCTAAATCTACCCCTTTCCAGTTTTGAAAACGTTACCACTTGTCCTATCACTGCACTCGCTGATCAAGAGTCCCTCCCCACCTTTCCTGTAGGTCCCCTTGAAGTACTGGAAGGCCACTCTAAGGTCTCCCCAGAGCCTTCTGTTCTCCAGGCTGAACAACCCCAACTCTGTCAGCTTGTCCTCACTGGGGAGGAGCTCCAGGCCCTAATCATCTTCGTGGCCATCCTCTGGACCAACCTGAGCAGGTCCATGTCTGTCTAGTGCTGGGGTCCCTAGAGCTGAAGGCAGTATTCCATCTAGGTGGGGTCTCATCAGAGCAGAGTAGAGGTGAGGGGAATCACCTCCCTCAACCTGCTGGCCACACTTCTCTTGATGCAGCCCAGGATGTGATTGGGTTTCTGAGCTGCGAGCACACACTGCTGGCTCATACTCAGTTTTTCATCCACCAGCACCCCCAAGTCCTTCTCCACACGGCTGCTCTCGATCCACCCATCAGCCTGTATCTGTGCTTGGGATTGCCCCAACCCATGTGCAGGACCTTGCACTTGGCCTTGGTGAACTTCATGAGGTTTGCACGGGCCCACCTCTCCAGCCTCCCTTCCCTTCAGCATGTTGACCGCACCACACAGCTTGGTGTCATCGGCAAACTTGCTGAGGGTGCACTCAATCCTACTGTCCATGTCGCCAACAAAGATGTTAAACAGCACCGATTCCGATACCGACCCTTGAGGAGTGCCACTCATCATTGTTCTCCACTCGGATATCAAGCTGCTGACCATGATTCTTTGCGTGTAATCCATCCAGCCAATTCCTGATCCAGGGAGTGGTCCATCTGTCAAATCTGTGTCTCTCCAATTTAGAGACAAGGATGTTGTGTGGGACAGTCTCAAATGCTTTGGACAAGTCCAGGTAGATGATGTCAGTTGCTCTTCCCTTATCCATCAATGCTGTAACCCCATCAGTAGAAGGCCACTGAGTTTGTCAGGCATGATTTGCCCTTAGTGAAACCATGGTGGCTGTCACTAATTACCTCCTTATTTTCCATGTGCCCTATCATAATTCCAGGAGGATCCACTCCATGATCTTGCTGGGCACAGAGTTGAGACTGGCCTGTAGTTCTAGAGGTCTTCCTTTTTTCCCTTTTGAAGTACGGGGGTTATGTGTCCCCTTGGAAGTTCTCCAGTTGGTGGGAACTTTTCCAGGCTGCCACGACTTCTCAAACATGATAGTGGCTTAGCCACTTCATCTGCCAATTCCTTCAGGACCCACAGATGTGTCTTATTGGGTCCCTTGGACTTGTGCATCTGCGGGTTCCTTAAATGGTCTCAAACCTGGTCTTCTCCTACAGTGGGCAGCCTTCATTCAGGCTTTGCTTTCTGCAACTTGGGTGGTGTAGCTGGAGCACTTGGAGGAGGTGATCCTTGTATATTAACCAGGTTTCTTGGGCTCCTCTTTGCTGCAGGGATGTGTCCCATGGTATAGACGAGTTAGACTTTAGAGGACACCTTTGCAAAGTGAAAGATTGATGGAACATGGTCACAATGAGTTTTTAAAACTTGACTGTTGTAATTAGCATATAATTTCTAGTTTGGTTTTGGTTTTGCCATGTAATTTTTCTGGGAAGCCTGTTAATACAACTAAGATAGCTCCACTTGAATTCTGAGTCTGTACATGAGCATCTACTGAGCTTTGAACTCCTTGGTTAAGAACTTACAAAATACTACAGAATATAACTGTATATTTAAATTCTCTTTGCTGTTTAGTTCTTTCTCTGTTTAGTCTTATATGCATTAATGAAACATGACAATTCAATATAAGATGAACATTAGCTAAGGCATAATTTGCTCTGTCACTGTAGGGTAATGGTAATTTTATGAGGTCCTAAAATGTCTTTCTAGTTCTGCTACTTCCCGAGTAATTTTTTATTTTATTTTTAGGTAGATATTGAGCCGTCTGATGAAGCTGCTCTGATTCTTCACAGAAAGGGATTTGACTGTAGATTTTCAAACAGAGACACGGGTCTGCTCTGTTCCACTACTCAGGGAAAGGTATACTGATATTTTATGGGTAGCTAACCTTACACGTATTGCAGAAACACTGATAAGTCAAATTATAGGTGAAGTCTAGGTATTTATTTCTCAATAGTTATATTTTCAGGATAATAGTTATGTTTATCTGGAAAGCTGCTTTCCATTCGATAGGTTGGTGTGACCATGTAAGCATCAAGAAGTAAACTTCTTGGTCAGTTTTAATCTCATTAACTTCCTGTAAATGCTGTTTTCATATAACACAGATCAGTATTTCTCAAATTTTTAGAGTTTTACTAAGTACAAAGAGTCAAATTACATTCTGAAGTGTATCTATTATTAATGTATCCACAAATGATGTGACTCTTACTTTGAAAACTGTTGCGTATTATAGCATGTCCTTTGTCTACTCCTGCTCACTTACGTGGCCTAACACCATTGCAAGTATCTGAGCATTTTGCAATTGCTGTAGATTTATGATGTGTAAGAGTATGAAATATAAATTATACAACTTTGTTCTGAGAGTTACAGATAGACTGGATGGTTATGAATCTGTTGAAATTTTGTAATCAAATTTTGAAATAGGTTTGAGATTTTCTTTAAGCAGAAGAGTGTTTTGTTCACAAGAAGAGTTTAATCCAAAGGTTTCTGATGAGTTTTTTAATATATGGATTTAAGTTACTTGCTTTGAAATGTGGCAAGTGAACACTGCCTTTAAAGATCTAATTCAGTGCATAGCATTTGAGACGTGGTACATAAAAATATTCATGATCTTTGGTGTAAGAATTGCTGTGCTGATACCTTAAGAAGATGTATCATTTGGATCATTGTTAGAATTAGGTTAAGGTCGATTTTAAGGTATATGCTGTATTTTCTAATATTTTTTTTTTTTCCTTCCCAGATAAAGGTGCATAAACTCTTTAACAAGTTCAGAGTGGAAAGTCTTACACCTGCATCTTTATCTTTGATGCACTCACCTCCGGATGCCAGAAATCTAAGTGAAATAAATATGAGTTCTATGGACATAAATACGTTTCGGATTCAGCTAAGCTGAAATCTGGCTTTAATACTCAGATAGAGAAGAGGAATCTGCAATTATATCTCCTCTAAGTTTCACGTGCAATAAAAAGCACATTATTATTACTCCAGCTTCTGGATACTGTGAGAAAAACATGCATTCTATAATTTTTTTTGACCAACACAGTGAAAAGCCATGTTGTCAGCGACTTTTTTGGTTTTGGGGTTTTTTTGGGTTTTTTTCTCATAAAACAGCAACATCGGCATAAGTTAATGCAACAAGTGAAGAAATTTCTAAGGATGTTAACCTCTCAACAAATTAAATCTCAGGTTAAATGCTAACTAATGATGTTTCTGGAGTTTTAATTTTCTTAAAGAGGGGATTGGATTTTAAACGGCCTTCTTTGCTGATCCTCGATGAATTTATGTACAAATAATTCAGTGTAGAAAGTCCTGATGCAGCTTGGGGAAAAAAAAAAAGAATAAAATGTTCTTGTGTAGTAGCTGATGTCCAAATATTTACAATCATTTATATAAATGACAATAATCTCAATTTATTCCACAATTAATTTCAATTTATTCAACACAAAGGGGATTATTAATTGTGGTAAAATGAAAGCCTGCAGTACTTGTGATAAGTGATGGTAGATTTTAATACTGCTACCATTCACCTGAGTTATGTAAATAGGAAAACATGAACTTACAAAATAATTTTGCAATGGAAATACTTAATAAAACTCCCATTTTGTTACTTGACACAACTGGGATATGTGCAATTATTCCATTATCATGTATGATGAGAAATGTCCATAATTATCATGAATACAAGATTTTTTTATAAAACTCATTTAGATACCAATGTTCTCTGAAATGAGTTTTCTATTTCAAGATTACCATATCAAGATAAATGTGCCTTATTTTTTGATACGTCTTGTTACAATTTTGGTGTCTATGTTAATGTTTTTGGGGGAAAGGTGGTTTATATAATACTTAAGCTGTATATCTCCTATTTGACAATGCTGGCCACACTCTGATCTATGTCCTCCTGCACCAAGTTTGTGCTGTCTTATTCTGAAGTTTTTGACTATTTGAATGTATTAAAATGATGTCATAACATGAAACAGACAAAAAGAATTACTGTAAAATCTAAATTCAGCTGCTTTCAAGAAAATTGCATCTTGATGCAGAGAGTTGATAGTAAGCAAGACATAGTTTACAAACGCATCAAAACATGTGCTTGCATGTCACAGACTGTGGTGACCTGTTAATTCAGAATCATGTGCCTATATTTTAAACAACATTTTCCAAGCTTGCAACCTCACTTACATTGCCAGTGTTCACATTACTGAAGAATGGAGTCTTACTTTTTGCTACGTTTTCACATATTAAGTAATTCATATTTAGTGCTGAAGCCATTCAAGTGTGAAAAATATTTCCCTAAGTAGAGCTGCTGTTTACAGTTAATATATATAAACATGCACTTGGGTATGATCCAATTTCCTAATCTTCATTTATCTTCATAGCTTTGTTCTATCTCCTGCTTATGCTTTACTTTTCCATACATCATTGTTTATCTTTAATGCTAATGCATGAAAACTCATCATAACTGGTAAAAAGATGTGCTATTTTCTAACTCTAATATTACCTACTGTATTTAATTTCATCATTGTTGTTCCACAGTGTATCAAATCATATCATGTTGCTACAGGCTATCTTAAAAGAAAATGAAAGCGAATCGTTGATTTCATGCATTGTCACAGGTTGGATCTCTGTTGAGATTGTATAGATTTCCTTTTTATTCAATCTACTGTGTGTTTTGTAATTAATGGAATACTTAGTAGGATCTGGTGCAAGTTATATCAAGAATATAGGGACCACTAACCACAAATGGAAGAATCAGATGGATCCAATAAATGGATGTTTTCATGCAATAAACATGTACTGTAACTTTTCTTAGCTGTAGTAGTTGAAAATACTATTTTTTGTTGGAGCTCAAAGCTTGGTAGACTTGCCAGCAGAAATTTCTCATAACATTTATTTTGTTACATTGTTAGAATTAAAACGCTTCAGAGATTTTTATGTGTTCTGTGCAAGAGAGCTTTCAAAATACTATTTCAGTTTTGTTAGGCAGGAAAGCAAAATTTTGATGCAATAAAATTTTAAAGTATTTTGCCTGTTGGAATTATTTCTGAAAGATGTTTCATATAGCATTCGGTCTTTTATCATCAGCTGTACAATCACAATGCTTGAATTTTCCTTAACCAGCAGATATAATCTTTATTCATTTATTTTGCTTTTTTTTTTGTAGAATCCATAGAATTATTTTCCAACCATGATAAGGTTGGAAAAGACCTCTAAGATCAAGTCCGAGCATCAACCCAACACCACCATGCCCACTAAACCATGTCCCAATGTGCCACATTTACATGTTTTTTGAACACCTCCAGGATGGTGACTCCACCACTTCCCTGGGCAGCTTCTTCCAATGTTTGACCACTCTTTCAGTAAAGAAATTTTTCCTAATGTCCAATCTAAACCTTCTCTGGTGCAAGTTGAGGCCATTTCCTCTTGTCCTATTGCTAGTTACTTGGGAGAAGAGACCAACAGCCTCAGCATTGTTGTGTAACAACAGAACAGCCTTCAATTTGGGATCCTTTCCTGAAATCTTCAACTAAGTCAAAATTCCAGTCAAAGTCTGACAATAAATTCTAATTTTAATTGGTTCAGAAGTGGCTGTTGATGGGTTTGGGTTGGTTTTTTTTTTCAGCACCTCTTAGTGAATTCTTACACCGTATTTTTGTTTTATTGGATATTTCAGTTTAAGTTCTTGTTTTGGCTAATTTAATAATTTTATTTTCTTTTTTCTATTTTTATAGCTGCTGGGTTTATAACTACTGGTTAAGAGAACCAAGCATCCTTTCCTTCCAGTATGGTTTTAAAGACAATGCTGTGTAAGAAATGGTTTAAAACCTTGTAATTACTTTCCATACCACAGTTGTACCTGTACTGACATTTGGGGTTTTTTTTCACATTCCTTTATCTTAAATGCCTTTGGTTTACTTGCTCATATTGTCCAAGACAAACTGATTTCAACTGAAGGTTTTTGATATTTTCTCTTGGAAGGTTTTATATCTTGTGGGGATATGTAAAATAAGATCTCTAATAAAAGATAATGTTATTGTGAGGTGTGGTTAGTGTCATTAATGCCTTAGCCATAGCTAATTTAAATTTAAAAAACAAGAAAGAGAGCGAAACAACAAGCATGGCTTCTTTGAGAAGGTTAGTATATTGGAAACTTTTGGGAATGAGGATTGCCTGTAGTGAGATGAACTCCTGATGAAAGATGCAATCTATTTCACAGTTGCCAAACGAAAGAAAATAGATGCTAACTTCAGAGATGTAAACATATGTGATTGCACAGTATGGTAAGGGACTGGGTAGCTCTTCTTTTACAAAAGAAACTGCGCTCACTTAGCAGAAAATAGTAGAAGGTGTAAAATACTAGAATTTTTTTACTTGAATTAATCTAATTTCTCTTTTAAGCATTTGAGAGTAGTGGAGTGGAAGATGTTCTTGTAAATTAAATTAACAAACACACCATTAGAAAATAAAGTAAAAATAACAGTTCAACTGTTATTAGACTGAACACTTTTTTAAAAATAATACAATGGTAATATAATATGCTGTAATTACATATGACAAGTTGAACAGGCATAGAGTCTTTACAGGTTTGTTTCCCAAAGTGCTGGTGGAGCTTGAGCATAATGAGTTGCAAAGACAATTAGTATAAATTTCAGTCAGTGCCTGAAACTATTTGATGTTGGACTGGATAGTCTTAGCTATAAACATAAAAGTATACATATACATTTACTATGCAAATCCCCGTAATTTTAAAGCTGATGTTTCAAGCTAAAAAGAAGTATACGACATCTAACTGCAGCAGGCAACAATGGGTATGGGTCCCACTTCACCTTTTTAAGGTCATCCTACTCTGGAATGCATTAATATCAGCATGACCATCTGGACAGAACATATTCCACTTACTCCAGTTACCAATGAACTTTTCTTTTACTTTTTGAAATTAAAGTAATTATATTTGATTTATACCTGTCCATCATGTTTTAAATAACAGGTGCTAGATCTCTCTGCACATCTTTACTGATGCTGATACTGACACTAAAATACATTGCTCAGATTCAACAGGTTATCTGACTTGTGATTAGTTGAATATATAACAAAATATAAAGTAGAGATTCAATTTGTTGTCCTATGTACTTTAGGACAATTGCTCTGTCATTAAGAATTTCTAACAACAAAAATCAGCCAAAGGTATTACTTTTGCCCTCTAAAAGAGGGAACATACAAAAAAATTAATATATATCTAGAATAAGCTCAAATCACTGGAGCCCTGTTGTGATTTTCACACTGTTCTGGCTGATACAAAGTTCCTGTGTCTCCAAACATTTCTGTGAATTATAGTATTAAATTGTGGACCTGTCTTTTAATATACAGATTTTATGAAGTAATTTAAAGTCCATATTACATCACACACATCCACCATACAAGAAGACATGTGCGCCTCTTCCTCTCAAATCATGACCTGCAAAGTAAACTGTGGTCTCCTCAGCTAGCTAGTCTATTTTTATTTCTCTCCCGAACTTGGCTATTCCTTTTGTACTACTTTCTCCTTTCTTGGCATTCCAGTTAAATCTGTAGGCATTTGTAGACTTCAGCATGTACATAGCCTTCCAGCTCTGCCCAGTGCGTACTCCAGAACTTTCTGGAGTCAGACTGCCTGTGGTGTCAGCCAAAGCATGAGCTGTGCTGCGTGTGAGCACTCAGCCAGCTCTTCAAGAATTATATCGTTTTCATCGATATCAACGAGCATGCGAATGGGGCACATGCCCACTTGCTTGCCACAGCTGCCTCATGGCACTAACCTGCTCTTCAGGACATACATTTTTCTCTATCTCAATATCCACTTGAGCCATTCTCCCTTTTTTTTTTCATCCTCCATTTATTTCTCCAGTTTCTAAA